CCATGCTTAAAATCGCATTAACTCGCCAACATGCATTCTGTTTGATACATTCAGACAATAATGTACTCAAGTTTATCAATTGCTGCTATTTTGCTGCCAAATCATGTATAATCCAGGTGTTTTGCAATCAAAAGTAATGCAACGTGGATAAATCAAATAAGTGGATTAGGCTGACAGTATTTAGTCACTCATTAGGCTCCGGTCGTTAATAAAAACAGAGCCTTTTTCTGCTTTATGCAGACTTTACAATAATTAGGCAATTCTGGGATATGAAAGACCCATAGATTCCATTACACTATCAGCAACAAAATTGAGTTACTGGTTAATTTCATTATTGGTGTAAAATGTAGAGGCTGGGCTACAATTTATATGGACTATGGAGGCTGGGCTACAAATTAATCTATAATATACATGGCTTCTCAAAGCCTAATTGCTGTTAGAACAAGAGTAGGAGACTATGATAATGAGAGTCAATGAGTACGAGTATATAATAAGGTCATCCTGCAATTTATGCACTGTTGCATGTAGATCGAGCACTGCATCGTATACAATGGTTGTACTTCGACATGTGCATGGTTATACTCTAGCTCCTAGTTTATATAATTATATTGGCTATCATACGAAAAACATACGTGAGGTTTAATATGAGCGAGATTTGCAAGTTTTGCAACTCTCATCTATTAAATTTTCCAGATCTGTATATAAAATAAACAGTAAAACAATTATTACATCGTACATACCATACAATCTTTGTTTTTACTTGTTTGCAGAACAAATTATCAGGTAAAAGACTTAAAACCACGATGTAGTGCGCCTATCATTTTGTTTAGTATTTTTTTTTAATAATTTAGAATTCCGACCATTTATATGCGATGTACTTCATGTAAATTAAACTTTACGGCATTACGCCGACAGTTTCCGAATGCGTGACAATACTGTTTCAAACTGTTTCTGGGTATAGATATCAAACATAATTTTATAAAACATGTTTGTTGAAACAGTTTAAATAAAATGCAAGCTAAATAAAGAAGTGTTGACAAGATACAAAACAAGAAAATTTCACTTACAAGGGTGACAAGGTAATTTATAGGAATATAGCTTATTGTAACTGTATAAATATATTGTGCGTTTCTACTCCCTGTGGGCTACAGTATGTGGCCCAGTTTCGGGTCATTTCAGGTTTGAACTGCTATATCTTCCTTTTCAGGAAAGGTACGATTTTTAAATGCTCACTTGAGAATAGGAAAGGTGTTTCTTAACAATATTTCAAAAGATTGACTTTTCTTACCTTTCACTTTTAGAATTATTTATATTTTTAAGAATCATTTTAGGTGCCCAGTATCGGGTCAACTGCACCAGTATCGGGTCACTTCAAGTTTCTTTGTTTATTGTAGAAAAGCGTTTGTTTTACGGAAATTTTCGATCATTTTGTATAGTTTCAACATGTCTTAAGTTATTAACAATTTTTTTGTGAGGTTTTGACAAGGTTTAGACATGATATTTCCAGCTTGAAACTACCTCTTCTACACAGTTTTTGCGGAGTGCGTTCTAAGCAGTGCTTCCACTTTCAGAGGTTGAAACATAGCTGACCCGAAACTGGGCCACAAAGCCAAACTAAAACGTAATTTGTGGGACCAGAATATATCTCTAAAATTCTGAATAATTGAATTGCCATTTCATATTTATATATTCTCGGCAATAATCTATCGTTAGGACAAAATTGAGTATGTTACATGGAGAATTACATATCAATAATACGATTTATTGTTATTAGTTAATTTTACTGCGCAGTGAAATGAACAAATTTTAGTAAAAGAATATAAACATACCCGGACAAAAGGGATTCTTCTTTGAATACAGTTCAACTAAAAAGCCTGCGAAAACTATCATCCAAAAAAGGAAAGGTTTACCATTATATCTATATATTTTATTTCGCGTCGCTTTTTATCTCGGCGGAAAAAAATGAAATCAAATTTCTATTGACCCGCTACTGGTACTGACCCGAAACTGGGCCACATACTGTATGGTTCTTTTGGAAATCAAATATCTATTATATTTTGCAATTAATAATATTAACGTTTAGCCTAAGACATGTGTAGTTTAGTTATAGGTTGGTATTTTGCAATTATGTACCGTACATGCCCCTTAAGTAGAGTATATTTATTAACTGTTTACAATATTTGTGGTATATAATGTAGCCATGAATGCATGACCACATGACCCCACAAGATGAACTCCAATGGCTTCTAAATAAGATAATGGATGAAAATATTATATATGATTCGGATTAAATACAATAATTATTAACCTAGCTAGCTTTATATAAAATGTACATACATGTTCTAATAATTGTATTTTGCTTCATACAATGCATATATGTGTCAATGTGTGTGAAAACATTACATTATTCAGCTCACTCCCCTTTGGGGCTTTTCAGTCACCGCTTACATAAAGTATTAGGGTTACTTATGTTAGTCTAGACTATATATCTTTATAACAATGAGAATATGATATCACTTTTCTAACTGTTTTTATTCTAACCCACCCTGCCATATTTTGCCTTGTGGGAGAAAACCGGAGAAAATTATAAAATTCAATTACCTTGAAAAAACAGGTCTAAATTGCAATCCCTAAAATTTAGAATTTTCTCTTAAATCGCATTAAATCGCCTAAAATCGCTTTAAATCGCAGTGCTTCAAAGTCCCAGTTTTTCCTTAAATCGCCTAAAATCGCCCAAAATCGCATTATATCGCAGCGATTTAAGGCGATTTACCGCCCCAGAGTAGGCCTGTTTAATGATGCAGATAGAAACTTGTGTGTTCAAAATACAAACTTGTGTGTTCAAAATACAAACTTGTGTGTTCAAAATACAAACTTGTGTGTTCAAAATACAAACTTATGTGTTCAAAATACAAGCTCGTGTGTTCAAAATACAAACTTGTGTATTTATAATACAAACTTGTGTGTTGAAAATGCGAACTTGCGTGTTGAAAATGCAAACTTGTGTGTTGAAAATGCGATCTTGAATTTTAGCGGAAATTGTACGCCATAGTGAACATCTCTAGGACTAAAGCAATATGGAAGCTTTCGAACGACAAAAGTGTCAGATACTTTGTGAAAACAGCATATTGCTGTATTGTTGCGATCCTCATTATGACTTGTGTTTTACTATACCAAATTTACCTTTTTAAAATTGCATTGGACGTGCTGTCATTTTAGCTTAGTTTATAAATAATCCGTCTGCGCGAAGGAATTGTGTTTATTTTCTCAATATATAGCGAGGCTCTTCTTTCTAAGTTGGATGGCGTTAAATCTCCGTGTATCATCAACGTGAAAACAAGCGCAGTATTTATATGGTTGGTATACTACAATGCATTACAGTTAACTTGTCATTCAGTCAAATTTCCGCTTTGTTGTTTTTATTCTTGTACTGTACTGTACTGTACTGTACTGTGCTGTGTGTGCTGTACTGTACTGTACTGTACTGTACTGTACTGTACTGTACTGTACTGTACTGTACTGTACTGTACTGTACTGTACTGTACTGTACTGTACTGTACTGTACTGTACTGTACTGTACTGTAATTTCATAAATACACTGTACAAAATTATGGCGTAATATATTTGTGTTTATTGCCTCTAGTTTGACCCTATTGTGTGTGTCTATGTACTGTGTCACTGTGATATATATTTACATGGTTTGAGTTAAACAAATTGTTTAATACATTTTTGCTGAACTATGATGCCTGTTTGTATGTAGTTGTGGATAGATTTTTACCTATATGTTCATACAGTAGTTAGATATTTTTCAATTTTCATCTGTAAAATATTGCCATATTTGTGTGTTGTTCTAATATTACTATAAATAGTGACACACGTTTGCATTAGATTGCTAATTTTAGAGATTACAGTGTCTGTTTAAAATAATAAAATAATAAAATAAAAGTTTTCTTGTTATGATTTTGTAGAAAGAAATCTACTTGAGTGGTTGGCTGGTCTTGAACCTGGTCAGGATGGATATGGTAATGAAGGTGATTGGGCAGAAAGTGGTGACCAGTTAAGTGATGGGGATGAAAGTGACGAGGACGAAATCACCCATGCTGTATCATTCAAGTGTATCGGTGCTGCTCATGAGAAAAACTACCAACATCATTTGGAACAGGCATACCTTGCTCCTCATGGACAAGATAAACCAGTGAATGTAAGAATATTGCCAGGGCAATCAAATCCAATGGACCCAAGTGCAATTGATCTAGACTATGGAACTGGATGGACACATGTCGATTTATATTGCTTCTGAACTATGCGAGTTTGCACCAACTAATTGCCGCAGGAGATGCCTTAGAGGTTTATGTTCAACATATCAAGTATAGGGTTGACTTTTTTAAAATAGGATTTTATCAAAAAATTTAATAAAGCGACATGGCGAGTGGGAGACTCGAGTGGTAAGGAAGACCATGAGTGTACGTTGACAGATGTTTGTGATATACTAGCACCCGACTAGGATTAGCAAGTTATAGAAATGCTGTTACTTCAATTGGCTAACTTTTTAGATATTTCTTTCAGCATTTTTAAACAAAAACTAGGTCAATCACAAGTGGGTGCAATTAAAACAATGTCTGTCATGCACACTCGTGCAATTAAATACATAATTGTAACATGTGCTGTACTAAATGAATAAATAAATAGTTTATACATTCACTTGACCAACTTTGTGAGTAATTTTTCATTAAAATTAATGCAACAATAAAACATATTGATCAAATGTCCCACAATAACATGCTGCTGATACTTGGTGATACATTATATGAGAATACAAAAATCCCTGCATATAATGCACCTATCAATTTTAAGTCCCAGTCTCCCAGAGGGGGTGGGGGTCGGGCATATGTGGGGTATTTGATCATTAATTGCATCTCCACCATAGGGATTTTCATGATACATAAAGTGTATATTTTGATAAATCAGATTGTCTTTTTGGCCAGCATGAAATACAGACATAACCTTGGCAACAAGTGGGAGAAAATTTTGAGGGACAAATTTAGCATCTAAACCAGGGTTAACTTTTGCCAGCCATTTTTGAAACAGGTGGATGAGTAGTTGTTCTCGTTATCGCTGGATTAGTTTTGAAAATCCAGAAGTCATCAACGCGAGCATGCCAATTCAAGAAATGAAGGTTGCAGAATGTGAAATATGTGCCTAACTAGAATAATCGACGTTATTCTCGCGATAACATCATGCACAATAAAATTTTATACTACCATCACATCGTCTACATAACAAAAAAAGCTCTTTAGGACAGCCACTCATTTACGGAATTATCGCGGACCAAATCTGTTTGAAAAAGGCTGATTCCATATTATTAAGCATTTTTGTCTACTCTGCATCTCTTAATGGTTTATTGGAAATTTGGAATTCTTTGTTTTCTGTTAAAAAAAACCTTTCTATTTAGAAACTCGCACTGTACTTCAAATTAGCTGGGAAGAGCCAATTATATTCTAAACTGGATCCACAAGCGAATAGAGGCGCAGTGAATTGTTGATGCAACAATATTTTCTTTCACACCCTGAACGTTTAACGAACAGCAGCAAGCATATCAGTCCTTGAACGTAAAAATAGAAAAGAAAGACGGTAGTATCTCAGAAAACAGAGAGACTACCAAATTATTTTTAAGGACCATATAACGCTAGCTTTGCAGGTTACTTGCAATTCAATCTTTGATTTTTCGTAAGTAAAATCAAGCGAAACCAAGTAAGAGTTAGATACCGAAAACGGAGGCTCTTAGTCAGATACAAACCCGAGGGGCCGTAGGCCCCGAGGAATTTATCTGACTAAAAACCGACGTTTGAGGTATCTAACTAACTTAGTTCATATTTGTAAGGATTGACCCACAATGAAATTTTCTTTATGTTATGTACTGTCCTTTAAATGAGTTTGAATTACCATGGTTATAATAAAAACAGATAGGGCTTTCGCATTTGATATGCATCAGTTCTCTTGTCTTGTTGGGTTTCAATTTAGGATGTTTGAATACATGAGCGGGGAAGCTTAGCGTAAAGTTTGTTAAAACTATTGACTTAGCTTGAGAAGGTTCGAGATGGAGAGCGACGATGAGTCGTTTTACATTACACAAAACTCATTTAGGCAAAATGCAGCGAATGAGAATGATTTGGACCCAAGTTTTTTTGAATGGATCGGCAATGTTTCGTATACGCCGCCACAAGACGAAAAGAAGGAGATAAGTTCAGGAATTCAAGAGAACGCAGCTTTGCCAATTATTCGTAAAATCGCTCTGGTCAGCGACGAGGAATTGAAAAGGAGACAAGAGGACAGAATACCAGAAAAGACGAAGTCCAACACAGCGTGGTGTCTACGAACTTGGACTGAGTGGGCCAAGCAAAGAAGTGCGATACGTTCCTCACTGTGTATTAACGAACGCTACAAAGTTGTAAATGCGGATATACTACTTGAGCAAGAGGAAGAGGAATTATGTTATTGGCTTAGCAAGTTCATCGTTGAAGTTAGACAAAAAAAGAATCCAGGAATGCCATATCCTCCTAATACGTTATATCAGCTCGCTTGCGGAATACAGAGACATTTGGAAAGCCTGCGATAAACATTTTTGAAGATGCATCTTTCAAGGGCTTTCAAGATTCGCTTGACTCGGAGATGAAAAGGCTCACAAGTCTCGGCGTGGGCTCGGATGTTAAACAAGCTCAACCGTTCTCAGAAGACGAGGAGGAAAAGTTGTGAAGCTTAAAAGTACTCGGTAGCCATAATGCACGAGTATTATTAGACACCTTAGTGTTCCTTATTGGAAGGAACTTTTCGCTTGGAAGTGGGCAAGAGCATCGACATTTACGGTTTAACCAGCTATGTTTGGCCGGGGCTAAAGGAAATGAAGAAGAGAAGTTGGTCTACTGTTCATTTGGCGAAAAATAATCTTGGTGGCCTGAAACATCGTGCAGTAAAGGCAAAGCGTGTCGAGCATTATGCAAATCGGGATCGACCTAAACGATGCCTTGCATGTGATGTTGTGATTTGGCAAATTGTCCTAAAGAAGCCATCGAGAAAGATTCATTCTACGTAAGTGCACGTCGAAAATATGAGGAAGACGATCCAGGTATAGGTTTACTTCTGATTTTATGAGTGAATGAGAAGTTTTTAATGAGGTTAGTGTTCATTTTACGTTGCATAAAACGTTGGTAATTTATTCTATAGACTTATATTTTATTTAAGAATGGTTTACATCAAATCCTGTGGGGCATAACGTACTTGGACAGTCAGTTCGAAATCTGTGTAAAAAAGTAATCATAGTTTAAGAACAACTACAGTCACTCGCGGCTTGGAGAAAGGTGCTCCAGAAAAGTTAATCATGGCTCGCACTGGACATAGAGATCGTAGGTCGTTGTTAACGTATCGAATTAGACCAGATGTGTCGACCAAGCAGGCCGTTTCAAAGTCGTTTGAATGTGGAGGCCCTTCGTTTGTCGATTTAACTAGAGATGGAGTGAATTAGAGAAAGTGTGACAATGCTGAATCGGTCATGGAGAATGCTGGCGGGGAGAAAGGTAGAGAAGCAAGTGCAAAGATTGTGAAAATCGAAATTAATAATTGTAGCGGTTGTGCGTTTAACTGGTCGTGATTGACCTGAGACGTAAGATTATGAATTTTAAATTTTGTATTTATGTGTGTTTTGTATTTTTGTGTGGGTATTTTTGTGTGTAGCGTTTAGTCATTTGGGTTAGAATTTATACTCTGAAAGTTAAAGATGTATAAAATTAAAACAGGAGAGTTTGTTATTTGGTTTTGTAGTTTTTGTTTTCTGTTTTAGTGATAAAAGGTATAGCTAATATAAAGTTACAGGCTCCTAACCCATTAGTTCATATTTGTAAGGATTGAACCATAATGAAATTTACATTATGATATGTATTGTTCTTTAAATGAGTTTGAATTACCATGTTGTAATAAAAACAAACAGGCACAGGGCTTTCGCATTTGATATGCATCAATTCTCGTGTCGCACTATACTGCATACTGTCAATGAGAAGTGATTAAATATATATTCGTTCAGCAGCAACAATTACGATAAAATATGTTTGTATAACGTTTGTATACAATTATACAAAGACAATAAAGTCATTCATTTTATTAAAATGTGGTATTATTTTATCATATCACAAGCATCTAGCCGTGAATGCGTTTAAACAAACCATTAATGACCAGTGTAGCGACGAATAATCTTTCATAAAGCACTTTTTCCACTCACGTATTTCGCCGCCGCTGGCGAAAAATTTCGCCACCGAAAAAGTTCATTTGTTGTTCTTTCGCGCCGTCAACGAAAGGTCAAACAAAAGTTGAAAATTTTAAGCAACTGTAGCAGGAGAACAAATTTCTTCGGCGGCGAATGAATGTAAATAAACGACAACCCCAATCAGATGAAAATGTAGACCTACTGTACGATATTCGGTTTGGGGAACGACCGTTACAGCAGCCAAACGACGAACGGTAGAGATTTGAATTGCCCAAAGGCAACAAAGAGAAAACGAAGTTGAGTCATAACAGTTGTATACGCAGTGCAGCCAGAGCTTGTAGAAAAGTGGTATTGAACGCATAGCATAGGCACAAGGCAGCCTAGTCCCAGTCGTTCTGAAGCAAGCGCGAGAAAAAACGTGGATGTAGTACAAGACTGGAACCTAGGTGTGACGTCACCACTAAAGGTTCTTCAGAACGCCTAGCAGATTTCAGTATTTTTAATATGGCGAAAAATTTATATATACAAATAACTTTGTAAATACGACAATTTTCGTTGATCATGTTCGATGTCTACATAACCAAATTCAAACTGTACTTTAATGTGCTCAATTAAAAAAAAATATATACAATATATAATCGTTGATGTTATTTATATACTCGCAAGTTATGATCAACACTAGACCATACTGGTATACAAAACTACGCTTTCTACTTGACAAGTTTAAGTAGCTGAGGAGATTGGAAATATTTGCCTGACATGACTGTGTTGTCAAAACATTTTTAGTCGGAGACTCGGCATAATTTTCAAGCCTCTAGATAGCATTTATTATGGCTTTATATTTTAGTAAACACGAGTCTGATTTAGTAGCCTTAGAAACGTAGCCTATTTCATTGTTCCGACAGCATTAGAGCAAAACTAATGACTTAATTATAAACGCAAAGGAAATTTCTATAACATTTCCTATTTACGAATGCGGCATGCTTGGTAACCAGGTCAGGGACCACTTTTTTGAAATCAGGGACCATTTTATCGAAATCTGCTAGGCTCTCTCGCTGAAGCGTTCCGCACAGCACACCCAGGCATAAAACTTTTAAGACTTATTCAAATATGTCAAAACAGCGAATAGAGAGAGAGAGAGAGCCTGGGACTAGGCTGGGCACAAGGTACAACACCATCTGGGCAGTTCGTGTTTGGAAAGAGTGTGCCGAAATAAGATTGAAATAGCTCATACAACCGAGAAGCGCTAACGAAGATTTGTACGGGTTTGTCGAAGCAGTGTTGTTTATATACCTATCACACCCATTTTCTATTGTCCTCGGGAGGTTGTGGTTGTGGGACGAAATAAGGTTGAACACATAGGCGTACCGGGCGGGGGGGGGGGCGGTAGCCCCCCAGTTTTTTTGGGCAGTCGGGCAATATTCGATTAACAGTCGGGCAATTTTGGGTTGTTATAAAAATAAATCGGACAAATTCTGTCATTTTTTTCGAAAATTTAGTAAATTATGTGATGTCCGAAAAATTTTGGTATGTCCGGAAAATTTTTTTGACCCCTTAAATGGTACACTGACCGAAATTTTTTTGGCGACGGGGGAGGTCGCCAAAATAATTTTTAGGGGAAAAATTTTTCGGTACTAGTCGGGCACAATCACGAAAAGTCGGGCAATTTTACGAAAAGTCGGACGATTTTCTTTCCGCCCCCCTAATTTTTTCCTTCCGGTACGCCCATTGCAAAGGTGCTTCTGTTTACATAAAAATCAAGAAATCATCCTATATAGCATTACCTAGCTGTCGGTAAATAATTTGGTATTTATTCCACATTTCAGTTAAATGGTCGATGATTCTTGAAACTTTACGTTAAATATCGATGAGATCTCTTGTACACTAAAGTTGATGTTATTAAAATTACAATTTACAAAAAAACAGACAAGGAACTACATTTAGGAATGTTTTACTAATCGAGTCCATGTTTTACTAATCGAGTCCATGTTTTACTAATAAAGTCCATGTTTTACTAATCGAGTCCATGTTTTACTAATCGAGTGCATGTTTTACTAATCGAGTCCATGTTTTACTAATCGAGTCCATGTTTTACTAATAGAGTCAATGTTTTACTAATAGAGTCCATGTTTTACTAATAGAGTCCATGTTTTACTAATAGAGTCCATGTTTTACTAATCGGGTCCAGTCCATGTTTTACTAATGAGTCCAGTCCATGTTTTACTACATGCCTTATAAAGGTACATGTTCCTTTATCATAAAGGTACATGTGGTCTATATATGAATTTTAAATCAGCACACACCGATCTATATCACGGTATATAGGGGTCATCATGTGACGAGATTTTAAGAAATTCATTGGCTAATTAGCTCATGAATTATTCATGAATTTTAGAAATATATATATATATATATATATATATATATATATATATATATAAATATATATATATATATATATATATATATATATATATATATATATATATATATATATATATATATATATATATATATATATATATATATATATATCCGAACCAACTCGTTTTTAACATATGGAAACACAGTAATTGGTTAAGACCAGAAAGAAAACGTAAATTTATTATTAAATTTTCGATCGCATGCGGCATCCTTCATCAGAAGTAGCTAGTTACAAAATTAACCATCTGTCAATTATATACCAACGGTATGGAATAAATTACTAAATTAATTAAGATAAAATTTACGACCCTATTGTTGAACAAAATCATGATAGCTATTTAAACCCCCTTGATTTGTAAGCAATATACCAATCCAGAAGTTTTCCCCCTGCCTCAAATTGTTATCACGCTGATCAATGAGCATAATTTTCAAAGTTGAGTGATCAGCATTATGACGATCTAAAAAGTGATTTACAATACTACAGAAAAATTCAAT